CAACAGGGGCCTAGAGTTGGGATTTCTGCCTCAGACCCTATAGGAGCAAGGGGTTTGACAATGGAGGTCTGGCCCAACCTACCCCAAGTGGTAAGGCAGAGTGGCTTTGGGATAGGACACAGCTTCCTTCCCATGTTTTCCTGCAGAGAAGCAACGGGAGCTGGCCCGGAAGGGCTCCCTGAAGAACGGCAGCATGGGTAGCCCTGTCAACCAACAACCCAAGAAGAACAATGTCATGGCTCGGACAAGGTAGAGGCCCTCTCTATCCTCCCTGGACCCTGCCAGCCAGCACCTATCTTTGCTGGTCTTGAGCCTTCCCCTCTTCCCTCCCTCCTCAGGCCCAGCTCCTCTCTGACAGGAGAGAGCCTCAATAGGAGCCAAGGTGGGGAGGGAGGGTGGGAAGTAGTGGGGTGGGACTCAGCCCAGTCCCCTGGCAGATTTCTGTATTCCGGTTGCCACTCCAACCCCCAAAATTCTTCACCCAGGCTGGTCGTCCCCAATAAAGGCTACTCCTCGCTTGACCAGAGCCCAGATGAGAAGCCACTGGTAGCCCTTGACACGGACAGGTGTGTACAGGGGCCTGGGGGCAGCTGGGCAAGCCACAGGAATCTGTGTGAGCACAAGTGGACTGTACAGGCCACACCTGCTATATTGACACAATTGGTGTATCCCTCAGCCAGGAGCTTTCCAAGGGTGAATTCCTCAGGGAATGGAATTTTTACCAGGGGTGGGAGGGAAAGGGGGAGGGCAGAGAGAAAAGGGGGACCTGTGCAGTCTGCTGCCATCCTAGGACAGCTGATCTAATGGCTACCCCTAGATGGGCCCTGACGTCTCTGGACAGCAGGATGTGATACTTAATGCCCAGCCCCCTCTAAGGGAGGAGCCTACACCTGGGAAAACACCTGGCTAGACCTGGACTATGGAAAACCCAAACAAGTCAAGGTGATTTGAGCCTAGAAAACAGGAGCGGAGAGAAGGGGGAAAGGGAGTAGCAGCTCTATTTAGAAGGAGGTTAAGGTTAGCAATTTATTTAGAAGGGTGGAGCTAGGGAACCTGTCTTTTAAAATCTGTATTTGCACAGCAAGCACAGTTTTTACTTAAGATTGTGCTGTTTATTTGGAATCGTGGGGGAAGGGTGGAGTGTTGACTGATGGTGCGGGTGAGGTGTAGGGAGTTTTCTGTTTAATTTCCCTCTCTGTCCTCTTTCCTCCACTGCCAGCGATGATGACTTTGACATGTCCAGATATTCCTCCTCTGGCTACTCCTCTGCTGAGGTGAGGCCCCACCCCTTCCCGCCTTAGACACACAGGAGCAGGACCAATTTTATCGAGAAGGGGTGGGGCCAACGCAAAGCACACCCTAAGAGGAGCAATAGGCACAGCGGGGCGGAGCCCCATATGGGCGGGGCCTGGGATAGGATGGAGGCTGGAAGAAGTCACCGGCCGGGAGCCCAGGGTTAGAAGCTGGGCTTGAGATGGGAGAAGAACGCTGAAATAGAATGGCGTGTGAAATACAGGCGATGCTTTATAGGAGCAAGCCTCAAATAGGGGTAAAACCCGAATAGAAGCGGGACCGGGGTTGAGAAGTTGACCTTAGAATGGGGAGGGGTCTGTAAGCGGGGGGTGGGGGAGGGGCTCAGGAGGATGTGCCTGTGTAAGGAAGTGAGGCCGGAGCCGAGCGTGGGGCAGGGGTGCGGACGGCCTAGGGTCTCTCCCCGAGCCTGACCCCCCTCCCCTTTGTCTACAGCAGATCAACCAAGATTTGAACATCCAGCTGCTGAAGGACGGCTACCGGTTAGATGAGATCCCTGACGACGAGGACCTAGACCTCATCCCCCCCAAGTCCGTGAACCCCACCTGCATGTGCTGCCAGGCCACGTCCTCCACCGCCTGCCACATCCAGTAGCGGGCGGGGCCGCCGCGGCTGCCCGGGGCGGGGCCGACGCGGGCCGGGTTGGACGGGGCAGGGTCCGACCCCTCCCGTGCTGGTCTGCCTGCCTCCGGCCCCCCCGCGCCCCCTACAGCCGCCAACTTCGTAACAGTCATTGCTTCCTCCTATGGTAGGACGTGTACCTCTGTGTGTTCATGGAGCCGGAGAAACCAAAACCGGGTTTTTCTCCACCCGGGGGCAGAGGAGGGGTTGGCGCTGTTTGTTCAGTTACTTGGGGGACCTTACCCAGCACCCTACCCCCCTTCCCAAGGCTGCCGTCCAGTAGGGGGTGGGGGCTGGGCAGCAGGGAGGCCAACAGTAATGAGTGGGGGGAGGGATCACAAAGCCAGAGGCTTGGCCCCACCCCAGCAAAGCCATGAACCTCCAGACCCAGCCTCACATGGAAAGGGGCACTGAGAGAGAAAGGCCCATGGCAGTGGAGTTAGGTCCTAGGACTTCAGAACCTCTTCCGTGCGACCCCTGTCGGCCCATGTAGCTATTTGCATTTTTCCCTTCACCTCCAGATGGGAAGCCTGGCAAAGCTGCCCAGCAGGATATTCCCGCTCCGATCCCCCTTACCCCCCCCATCAGATCACTGCCTGCTTCCTCCTCCTTGCCCCCACTCATCCTCTTCCTTACTCTCTGGGTGTGGGGGAGGGCAAGGTGGGCCTTTGAGACAGGCCAGAATTTGGGATGGTATGATCTGTCCTCATCCACCCCTAACCAATGCATCTATCTCTGCCACCAACAATCCATCTATCTCTCTCCCCACCAACACTTCTGTTCATTGGTCTCTGTCCCAGGCAGGGGATAAGGCTGGCCTCCAATGTCCCATTCCCATCTCACTCCAGCCCAAGATCTGGGAGGCTGGCTCCCAATAAGAATCTTCAAGGAGCAAGCTTAGGAGAATAGAGTAGGCTGAGTGGCTGCATGTATGCGGTAGGGAGTGCTTGGCAGGATATGTCTCCGTCTGAGGCTGTTGGGGTGTGTGTCCATGTCTTTGTGTCGGACCTGTCTCTCCAACTGTCTATTCCTGTCATAGGTGTGGGTGTCCGTGGTGGGAAAGGGACTGTGTGGCCTGTTTATAGTGGGAGAGACAGCTCAGCAGTGCAATGGACTGAGAGCCCTGGACTGGGAGTCAGAAGCCTGGGTCTGGTCCTAGCTCTAGTACTCTCCCTGTGATCCTCAACAAGCCACTTGCTTTCTCCACTCTTCAACTGTAAACTAAACAGCAGCTGAAATTATTTCTAAAGTCCTTTCCATGAAGGAATTTCTTCATAGGAATTTCTGTGGAGGGGTATACAGAGATCTCTATGTATTTTTGAGTACACTTAGGAGGTTCCCTGAGGTGTGTGTCTGTGTGGAAAAGGAAAGAGGCAATTCCTCTCAAGACTGTGTATGTCTGAGCACATGTGGATCTGTTTGGGAATATGTGTATGTATCTGTGAATGTGTATGTGTAGGGGGTATCTATTGCGTGTGTAGCTGTATGGGGCGTCTGGGGGTCAGAATGTGTGTACTGCTGCTTCTGCTGCTGTTGGTAGTTTGGGGGTGGGGGCAAGAAAGCTGAGGATGAAAATCAAAAGGGAAGAAGTGAACAGGTCCTTTCCATGGGGCTGGGAAATACAGACCTGCCCCCATGTGAAGACAAATGAAAGCACTGATAGCCTAAGACAGCTCACACTTATGCCCCACAAACCTCCTATCACAGGGCCAAGGTGTATACTTCCCCATTCCTCCATGCTGACACCCCACACACACTGGAGTCTCCACTCTCATGGATACCACTCCCATGCTGCAAGCCTGCAATGGACACACCCACAGTTCACTCTGTAGATGTCAGTCCTGAGAAGTGGGAGCTAGAAGTGGGGTAGTGAGAGGAGGGAGTGAGACTGCTGGCTTAGGAAGGGTAGCACCTCCCCCTGCACCACACTCAAGAGCTGCCAACTCCAAAGTGTTGAGGTACAGATCTTCACCCCCACCGCCTCCTCCCACCCCTACCTCCTTTAGTGCAGGGAAACTAGATGATGAAAAAATGCCACAGGGAGACAAGGACAGAGAAGGTAATTGCAAGGCCCACAAGGTCCATACTGGCCCCCATCTAAGCCTCTCTCTCCCACCCTGCTCAACATCCCCAGACCCTGTCATCTGGGCCCTAGATCCAAGCCCCATACTACTACCACCATCACTCTGGGTTCCTTGATTCACCCTTCTAGAACATGGGTACCTCCTCTTTTTTCAGGATCACTTAAATTGCTGCCTTTGTTGCTGACTTGCTGCGTGACTCTGGCCATTGTTCAATCTCTGTGGCCCTGAGGAACCAGGGAAAAGCTCCCTCCCCAACGGGACATGCTAGTTCCCTGGCAGGCAAGGGCTTCCAACTGAAGCAGTATATGTGTAGCAGAGGTAGGAAGCTGGCAGCCAACAGCTTCTGCATCTAGGCAGAGCGTATGGCTCCCTCCTTCCCTGTCTGGGTGGATGGAGTGGAAGAATCAAGGCCTTAGCTTGCCCCCTGCCACCCTTCCCCCTTGTAGATACTGCCTTAACACTCTCTCTACCCTCAGCTGTGGCTGCCACCCAGCCAGGTTTCTCCGTGCTCACTAATTTATTTCCAGAAAGGTGTGTGGATGACATGAGCCGTGTATAATATTTTTTTTTTTAACATTTCCATTGCAGTATTGACCATCATCCTTGGTTGTGTATCGTGTAACACAAATAATGATATTAAAATCATCAAACAAGTGAGCCTCCGCTCCCTACCTGGGGTGTGGGCAAGGGGCAGGTGGGCTGGGAAGGGGAGAGAACTGATCCTCTGGGTGCACATGTCACTCTGTCTCCACCATGAGTTCCCAGGGGTGCCACTGACCTGCTGCATGACACTGAGTGAGTCACAATCCCTCTGAACTTCTGTTTCTCTTCAACAAAGTGAGAAGCTTGGCCTAGAAAGTCTCCAGAGGCCCTCTGACCTCCTGGAAATTGGCCTCTTTTGAGAGGCTTGAAGCACGAAGGGGCCAGGAGTAGGGAGGGGACTGAATGTCCTCACCTCCCCAGGGATGAGCCAGGTGATATCATAATGGCCAGTGCCCATCCTGAAGGGGGAAGCAGGGTGGGGTAGGAGCAGGAAGGCTGTGGGGAAGGGAAGCTGAGGGGTCTTTCACGGGAGGGGGTCACAGCAGTGAGGGGCACCTGCCAGGCTGAAAGTGTGGGCCATCTAGGGGAGGGAGTGGTCACTGATGTCCAGCAGGAGCCTTTGGTAGGTAGAGCCCACCACCACAGCATCCCCAAGACCCACCATGTTCCTCTTCTCCCGTAAGACCAAGACCCCCATCAGCACCTACAGTGACTCCTACAGGGCTCCTACCTCCATCAAGAAGGTCTATAAGGACCCTCTGTGGGCCTGGGAGGCCAACAAGTTTGTGACTCCGGTAAGTAGAGGCTTGGGGGAGGAGCAGGCCAGAATGTGTCACCACTCTAACATTGCCAATGTGTGGTTGTCATTACGTGTTTGTAATTATTTGTAGCTTTGTGTATTTGTGTGTTTTATTCATTTGCCTAGGCACAGAATTTATAATGGTATATAAAATAGTACAAGGTCCTGCCCTCCTGGAATTACATCAGGGTATGAGGTGGGGAGAGACAGATAATAAACAAGAAATAAACAAGAGTTTTATAAATTGTCCAAAATGCTATAAAGGAAATAAACAGGGTAATGGAAATGGAAAAGGAGAGCCACTTAGGTCATGGAAGACCTCTTTCTTTCAAGGCAACATTGAGTTGAGACCATAAAGGAAAGAGAGAACTGGCCACATGAACAGCTGAAAGAATAGAAGAACTGAAAGTTTCAAACAGTGATTAGCAAGTGTGAAGTCCCTGAAGCTGCCTTTGGGATAGGCCAGAAAATGTCCTAGAGGCATGTCTTCATGCACGTATATCACAATCTCCTTGTGTCTGTGTGTCTGTGTTTGAAGATGGGTGGCCAAGTGGGTCTGTGAGCTTTCACAAAAGGGAAAGTAGATCTGTGAGTCTAATTGTAACTCTGCCTAAGAGAATTTATTTGAGTGAACCATCCAACAAAACTTTGCTGAGTATCTTCATGTATAGGTACCCAGAATGCAAAAAGGAAGGGCCAGACCCTGCTTTTGAGGAGCCTGTCGCAAACAAGTGAACAAAGTTCGCCCAGGGTAGAACATGCACCAGCAGAGGCATGTGCTGATAGGAAAGCCAGAAGGGGGAGAACATTCCCAGGACTTGAACAGCAAGGCTACGAAGTGATCTAGGAGGAGGCGGCTTCCAGCAGAAGAGAGTCCTGAGAAAAGACAGTCTGGGGGCAGGGACCCATCAGGAACTGAAATTGCTAGAGCAGAAGGAGAGGTTAGCCCTGTGGTGAGAGAGTAGCCTGCGGACCAAGAAGAGCCTCTCAAACTATGTTGAAGAGCATGGACATAAGGCTCCAGGTTTTTAAACCTGGGAGTGTCATGGTTGAATTATGAATTAGACCACTGTGAATTAGAGGGAGTGGGGCTGAGGGTAGAAAGTCCAGTGAGGAGTGAAAGATGAGGAAGGAGGATGTGGGTAAGAGATAAGAAAGACTATTGCAGTGAAAAAAGGAATTTGTTGAATGGAACAGAATTTTTTAAATAATATATTTTGTCTAACTACAAAATAAATATATCTTCAATGCAGAAAATGGGGATAACTCAGAGAAGCATAAAGAAAAAAGGTCCATAATTCCATTACCCAAAATAACCATGTTAACATGTTATTATATGCCCTTTTAGGAAGCAAATATTTTTTTTTTACAAAAATGGTGTCATGTTGTACTAATATTTTGAATCTTGTGTTTTTCACATAGCCATATATCAGGTACATTTTCCTGTGTCAAAAATATTCTACAGTATAGTTTAATAACTGTATAGTATTCTATGTTATAAGTGTACCATAAGAAGAAAAATTTGCATGAGATTTGGAGGGCGCAAATGAAGAAGCAGCCATTTTTATCCTCTGAAGGTTAATGGAGAGTACCAGACACTATGGCGGCTGTGCACAATGTTGCTAATTTAGTGAATGTATATCTCCTGTGGTAGAAAATATCCTCAATGTAAGAGATATAAGAATACAAATCACCATATTATGATTCATCAGAAACAACAAACAACAGACTTAAACCACCAAGGACTTTGGGTAATGGAATTTATACAATTTAGGGTATTTATACAATTCTGCTAGTATAATCATCTTATACACATGCATTTGTACTCATCTACAAGTATTCCCTTAGAATGAATTCCTGGACACAAAATCATTGGGAGAAAAGATTTTAAAAGCTTTTGATATACACCTCAAATTGCTGTAATAACGGTTATAATAATTTACACTCCCACAAGCAAAATATGAGAGTGCCTGCCTGCTTTTCCACTCTCAATAGGAAGAAATTTTAAGAAGTAGATCAAAAGATCTTGATTACCATCTGGTTATGAAGAGGGGAGAGATTAGGATGACTCCTGAGTTTTTGGCTGTGGCAACTAGAGGAATGGGAGTGTTATCACCTGAGATTTGGAATAGCAGATTAGAGATCTGGAGTTCATTTTTGGACAAAAATATTTGAGGACACCCAGCAAAAGATGTCTGAAGAGTAGTTGGATATACTTATCTGAAGCAAAGGAAAGAGGTCTGGGCTACAGATACAGATTTTGAAGTCATCATATAAATGGTAGCTGAAATCATAGGAGTGGATGAGATTTAGAAGATATACAAAGTGAATGTATATCTCCTGTGGTAGAAAATATCCTCAATGTAAGAGATATAAGAATACAAACCACCATATTATGATTCATCAGAAACAACAACCAACAGACTTAAACCACCAAGGACTTTGGGAAATGGAATTAATCATTAAAGAATACAAAATAATTATTAAATTTTTAAAATGTGAAATCATGAAAATAAGAAAGCAACAAGAGTGGGCCGGCCCGGTGGCGCACTGGATAGTGCGCCGCTTGGGAAGCGCGGCGGCGCTCCCGTCCGAGGGTTCGGATCCCACATACGGACCGGCTCCCGCTCACTGGCTGAGCGAGGCGCGGGAGCAACACCGAGGCTTGCAATCCTGTTGCCGGTCCCCGGTCCGGTACGGGGGCAACACTGAGGGTTGCGATCCGTTGCCGGACACGGATAAAAGACAAAAAAAAAAAAAAAAGAAAGCAACAAGAGATTATTAAAAATAAGCAGACTTATGTTAAAAGGATCTGAGTAGAAGTTTTAGAAATGAAAAACATATTGGTTGAAACCAAAAACTTAGGCCGGCCCGGTGGCGCACTGCTACAGTGTGCCGCTTGGGAGCGTGGCGGTGCTCCCGCCAAGGGTTCGGATCCCACATACAGACCAGCCGCTCACTGGCTGAGCGAAGTGCGGGCGCAACGCCAAGGGTTGCGATCCCGTTGCCGGTCCCGGTCCGGTACGGGCGCGACACTGAGGGTTGCGATCCGTTGCCGGTCACGAAAAAAAAAAAAAAAAAAACAAAAACTTAGAGGATGGTCTAAAGAGCAGATTAGACATAGCTGAAGAGTTCATGAAATGAATGAAATTTCCCAGAATGTAGCACAGAGAGACAAAGAAATGGAAAATATGAAAGGAATATTAAGCAATATGAAAGTCAGAATGAGAAGATCTTACGCACATCTAACTGGAGTCTCAGAAGGAAAGAGCAGAAAGGAGAATAGACATAATCTGAAGAGGAAAAAAGCTCAGAAGTTTCCAGAACTAATGAAAGAAATGAATCCACAGATACCAAAAAAAAAAAAAAAAGAATTATTTACACAGATAGTTACCTCACAATGAAACTGCAGAACACCAGCTTAACAGATAACCCTAAAAACAGGCAAAAAGAAAATATTTTGTGTCATCTTTTCAAGAAAGAAGGAAAGATAAAGACATTCACAGGCAAACAAAAACTAATGTTTGCTACTATCAGATCCATAATAAAGGAACTTCTAAAGAATATACTTTGGAGAGATGGAAAATGATCACAAAAGGAAAGTCTGAGATAAAATGAATGGTAAGAAACTGTTAAACATGAAGTAAATTTAAGCAAACATTATCTATAGAAAATAATTATAATGGTTTTGAATTTGTAATATTTAAAGAGAGAACTAAAATATTAGAAAACAATACTATGTAAGAGTTAAGGTATTCCAAGATCCTTTCATTGTTCCAAAGAGGGTATAAGATATTATAGTTTTGTACTGCTGACTAGTTGGAACCACACTTCCCAGAATTCTCTTCCCTAAGTGGTTTCCAATTGGCCTTGAGAAAAATTTGCATGAGATTTGGAGGGCGCAAATGAAGAAGCAGCCATTTTTATCCTCTGAAGGTTAATGGAGGGTACCAGACACTATGGCGGCTGTGCACAATGTTGCTAATTTAGTAGTTCACCTTCTTGGCATAGGGCAACATCTGGCCACAACTCCAGCTTCTGCTGGATCTCCTCCTTCACCATCTCTGAGTCTTGGGCAGGTGTGTGTGGCTCTATGGCAAATAGTATCAGCTTCTCCTGGAGGCCATCCATATCATGAAGATTGGAGGCAATGAGAAAGATGCAGGTTCTAGTTTGTCCTTAAGTGTTCTGGTTTGTCCTTGCTCTTCCCCACTTCACATCCAACTCTCCTTTCTGACTGCCTGCCAGTGACTTCAGGCTCAATAATAGATGCGAATCAATAGCCTCGTGAAGTTCTTAACCACTTACCACAACTGTATACAGTCTAATTCTAAAAATAAATCCCTTATGCTGTTTCACTCCCAGTAGTTCTGCTCTTATCCAAACCTGACTGATATAGACACAATAACAAAAAGTTGAGTAAATTAATAAATAACTTCATGGGCCGGCCTGTAGCTCACTTGGGAGAATGCGGTGCTGATAACACCAAGGCCCCGGGTTCGGATCCCATATAGGGATGGCCAGTTCGCTCGCTGGCTGAGCGTGGTGCTGACAACACCAAGTCAGGGGTTAAGATCCCCTTACCGGTCATCTTTAAATAAATAAATAACTTCATAATAAATACATACATACACATTTTTTAGATGGATCACTACATAAATGATAAAGTTTCAACTCAGGAAGATATTACAATTCTAAACTTGTATTGACCTAATAGAACTACTAGAAGGAGAAATTGACAAAATCCACCATCTAAGATTTTAACACACCACAATTACTGATACGTCAAACAGACTAAAGAAAAAGGAAAGACATAAAACACTTGAAAACATTATTAATACACTTGATTCATTGAACATAAATGCAGAGGATCTTCAAAAGTTCAGGGAAAGAGTCACATTATCTTTTAATTTCATTTTTCTTTGAACTTTTTGAAGATCCCTCATAGACCCCTGGATCCAAAAATTACAGATTTAAGCAAAGAAGGAACACTAT